CAGAACTCTGCGCACTCTCAAATGGAGCGCACAGTAAAAAACTCGGCGACGAAGAACGCTTCGTATCGACGCCCTGGACTGAATTCGGCACGTCCAACAAACGGAATAGTGTTCTCTGATATATTCTCTACGTGCTGGGTATGGTCGCGTTTAGTTGGAAGCTCAGTGCATCACCACTTTCGATTTTGAGACTTGGCCGATGGACTAATAGAATAGAGCTGGGGACCACACATGCCCACACCATTACACACACATACACCCACACTCTCTCCCTTTTCTCACATACACTCACACGCGCACACACACACACACACACACACTCATTCTCTAAATCTCTCTCTCTCACACACACGCACATATGTCATTCATTCTCTACATCACACACACACACACACCTGGCCTGGTGTACAGCTGCCGAATGCTTAGCCACGCCGCCCCGGAGACAGGGGGAGAGTAGAAGAGAGAGAGTTTGAGACACACACACACACACACACACATCCACACACACACACACACACACACACACACACACACACACACACCTGGCCTGGTGTACAGCTGCCAAATGCTTGGCCACGCCGCCCCCGAGACAGGGGGGAGGGGGGGAGTAGAAGAGAGAGTTTGAGACACACACACACACATCCACACACACACACACATCCACGCACGCACACACAAACACACACACACATTCTCTCTCTCACACACACACACATATTCTCTTTCTCACGCATGCACACACACACACACACACACACACTCACACATGCGCGCGCACACTTACTCACACACACACACACACACACACACAAATAGGCAGCGGGACTACCAGCTAGATTCACGTGACCTTGCGGACAAAGTTACGGAGGTAGAACTTGTTTTCACGACGACACTTGGACACAAGTACTTCTGTATTATTATTTTATCTCTTTTCAACCAATCTACAAGCCAAGAAGAGATGCGTAGACGGAAGAACCGTACTCTTGGTGATACTGATCGCAAACATGATTAATTCCTCCAGGCCATTGAGCACCCAATTCTAAACCTTATCTAAGCAAAGCAGCATGCCAGTTCAAGAACATCTCGTCAGACATACATATCGATACATGTCTGATGCACTCTCACTAACAAGCAGGCATAGCAGGCTACATTCGCACCAGCAATGAAAAGAAGTTGAAGTGAGTGAATATTTCTATAAAAATAATTGGAAGACAAATGAAGGTGTGGAGGATCGCCCAAAAACACTGACAAGGACACAGTAAACGGTACACAGTACTCGTATGCATGTACTTATACACGTCATAGCAGCACAACGAGAAAGACCATGATGCATAATGTTGCATCAATAAAATTTTACAGAGTTATTTTGGGAGTAGAAATGAAGATGTGTTCGAAGCAGTAAACTGCGCAAGCACTGCGTTGAGCCAGAATTATGAAATACAGTTTCCTGCAGTCAAAACAAGACACTCACACTTCTCTGGTCTAGTTCGCCATTCTTATCGATAAACATGACTTGATTTAATTTCTTACGATGGTCCTTGAGAATGGATCAAGGATGTCTTGAATAGATGTCTTCCTGAACGACTTCAACTGAGAGGCAGTTTCAGTTTCAACAAGCTGGACATTGTTTTTCTGTGGAGTCTTCCACAAGAAAGACAGAGCTACACACACGAAGGTGCTTGATGTACTCAGTACCTTCTTGGAAATGAACATATTTTCATTTCCATCTTCATTATATTTTCGTCTCTGCATCGTCGACGATGTCCACTTCTGACTCCGTAATCTTGTCACCCATCCTCTCCAAAAACACAAATCGAGTGCTGCTTGCATGCTGGATCAGTTGAAGTCAGTCTCTGCTCTAGCAAGATCGGCATGCAAAAATCACATGACTGAAAATATTCCGAAATAGCTTTTCTGAACGACGAAGTTTGTTCTTCAAATATGATGAATAGCACAACCTACTAGCCAGAACGTCCTCTCAAAAGAGATTCTATCTGAAGCCTGCAAGATTTTCGACCCCCCTTCGTTTTGGAGAGGAGCCCACACACACCAGACTCGAGCTACAAGTAAACTACGCGGAGATCGAGAGTTGATCGAAATCTTTCTTGCTCACTTCTGAAACCTACCTGTGAAGGAAAAAAGTATGCTGAACGCGTGAATGCCTACAGTTGAGTCGTAATATTTTGACGTGGATCCTGTGACCGTTCACAGAGAAAGTCGCGGCTGTCTCTGACTGGTCATCGGGATTCAAACTGGTGTGTGACTTTATGACTGCTCTTCGGGGATTTGTGACTGTTTGATTGGTCACGGGGATCGTGATCGGTCATCGAGACGTGACTGCTCACTGAGTCCTACATATACGATGCAACAAATTTCGTGATTTCGCCCAGATCCGCAATTTTCTGTAAATAATTCCGCGAATTCCTGGCAAGTTCTGCATCATTCCGCACTTTTCGTCGCATTTTTTGTTGTTTTCTGCCGCAATTTCTTGCGCAAGTTTTCGAGAGTTTTTTCCGCAAATTCCCGCAGGGACAGGCCAGATCTCACCACGGCGCTCTGCAGAGGTGATTTCTTCCCTCGTCGATTTCTTTCCTGCTTTTGTAGCGTTGGCACGCTAGTAACTCACACAGCTGCAGCGTGAATCACTTTCAATGTATTGGTCACGCGTGTTACACCGCACCCGTACCCCGCACTTGCAACTCTGTACCGTGCTTGCAGATCCATGACATGAATAGTAACTAGTCTCACTGCGTTCAATGTTTCATATTGACCTTAGAAATATTAGTCTAGACCTTTTGCTGCACTTTCAACCACCTCTCTTACGCCCATTGCCCACACTGCTATTCAGCTCCTTCTTCTGCATAGAATCAAATGGCACTCCTTGTGCAATGACTGTAGCCCACACAACATACTTTGACCTTTCTTCTTCTCTCTGCTGAGCCTTTGCCGTGACCATTGCTGTTGCAGCACGTATGCTGTCTGCCTATAAAAGCTGCTGTTCACAATTCTCTATACGCCAGTTAGAAACTACAGTTAGAAAGGCCAGTTAGAAAGGCCAGTTAGAGATACCAGTTAGAACCTTCTTTATGTCAGTTTAGAGTTAGAGTCAGAGTTAATGTTTACAATGTAGTCTTCCGTTTAGTTCAGTAAGAATAATTATTAACAGTGTGTTCACTGAGACCCGTCTGCATTTGCCTCAGAGAGGGACTGCGGCCCGTTACAGAATTGGTGCCAGTGGTGGGATTCGTTACACTTTTATACCTCGATATTTAGGTACTTGTTGCCCTTCTTCCCATGCTTCATCTTCCACTCTCCTCTCCCCCATTTCCCCATTTTTCTTGCGATATTTATGTGGGAGACTTCCGTGATAAGCATCCATTTGCTTTTGGAGAATCCTTTTAAATAAATACAATACAATACAAATACAACATCGGTCTTGACAACAGGGATCGCGGCTCATGAATAATCTTGCGCACTGTACAAATTATGTACATCGGTTAGCTGTACTGTTTTTTGTTGTTGCTGCAAACTGTTCTGTCCCCGGGGAAAATTGCGATTCCGCGGCCGCGTTTTTTTCCGCGTTTTTTGCGATTTTTTAAAAGATCGCGTTTTCCGCGATTTTCCCGCGTTTTTTGAACTTTTTTGTTGCACTACACGTACACACAGTGCACTGTTCGGTCAGCAACGTCTCATCGTGGCGGCTTTTTACTCAAATATGACGAGTGCTTACCAGGGACTTGTAACTGATTGATTTCACTACATGCTCACTGAAAAATGCCGCACATCAATATTGTTCACCGCATATTTACCGCACATTTACCGCAAATTCACCGCAAATTATGCCATATTATGCCGCGTTTTCCCCGCGTATTTTGCGATTTTTCCGCAATTTTCCCCGGGGACAGACTCTTGGAGAAATTCAAGAAGACTGTTGAAGAGTAGCCGAAGTATGAGTTGTGATTTGGCCATTCTCCGAGACAAGAAGAGTTCGACAAGTAGATTATGATCCTGGTGGTGGTCCGCTTTGAACTTCATCAGTTCTAACACCAATGCATTTGAAACGTTTCCGATCATGCTAGGCAGGGGCTTATCCTGCAATAGCTGCTCCTCCTTGAGTCCAAGACTCGACAAAACATCTTCACCGCCGGTCCCTTTGCTGGACGTACACTCATGATGGCGTTGTATCCAGCAATGGAGTACCTGTCGCGAAAAATACTACAAGTCTGGTGCGCGGCGTGATACGCCGATGAAACTTGGCAGCAAACTAAATTGGACGACGGGGAACACGATGGAACTAAAATCAAACCTGTATCGCTATCAGGCAGCGCAAGAGATGAAAAAGGCGACTGAACATACGCTAACTATGTTACTTGTCGGCGGCCATACTCCCAGCTCCGTAGGCGCAGCGCGCCCGCACAAACGCGGATACGAAAGTTCATCTTCTATTTTCGTGGCAATAGTACCTGGTCACGCCAAGCTTGTCACCAGGTCACTGACGTCTTCAGGTCACATTTTGAATATCCCGCGTGCCAAGTCCTGCACGCACTAGCCGCGACCGGCATTCTGCCGTACTGGCCTTTTTTTTTTAGTTTTGTGCCATCATTTCAGCTGGTTGCTAGGGAATCCAGCGACAAGCGTGGAGGTCACGTGGCACAGCACTCTGCATCTGATCGACAGGCTGGTAGACCTACATGGTGGTGAATCTTCTTGCGTAGATCATGGTAGATCTACATGTACATGGTAGATGCATCATGCATGCGTAGATAATACATTTTTTGTAATAATATTACAATTAATATTATTTTCTGCCTCCGGGCCGCGCCGTCCTACTTTCAAATCATAATAAAAAATATTAATTTTCTGTCACATATACATGCACAGTGCAGTCACTGTGCACGTGGAAAACATTTACATGATTTTGTTTCTCGGTGCGCGTATACGCGCTGCATGCATGCAGCGTGCAATCAAATTCTTTTCAGTTTTCTTGACAGGGTCAACTACTTCATTCTCGATGGTGCAGGTTATTCGTATTGGTATGCAACCCATAAATTAATAATAATGTGTTATTAGGCCACTCATCCAGTGGATTTAGACGGACGGTATGGCCGAGTCTAGCGCTCAAGAGGCGGACTTGAAATCAGGTAACCAGTACTACTACAGTCGACCTACCCTAATAACGATATTTTCGTCTGACCAAGAAATATTGTTATATTATAGGGTAATATTGTTATAGGGGTAACTGTCTCATTTCATACACATACGTCGTAATGCATGAATTTAGTTCATTTTTTACACTCTTCATAGCGTCAAAAACGTATGTACATGCACATTACGTACACAGCAAGGTGCCCACTGGTGCCCCCATTGCATTTCGTCATGTCCCAGCGACTTATCAAGTGAAGCTTGCCCTACATTGACAGTGGACTCTACATATCCCCTGCTGGATATTGTTATAGGGGTAATATCGTTATAGCAATATTGTTATAAGGGTAAGGCGTTGTATACAAAAGTCAATGGAGTGATTTGGTTTGGCAGAAAAATATCGTTATAAGGGCAATATCGTTATGGAGGTTATCGTTATAAGGGTAGGTCGACTGTACATG